CTACATCCCTTGCCTTGGTGCGCGCCACGCCTCGGCTTCGCTGATTCATTTGAAAGCTCATTTAGAAGGAAGCGTGGTTTATAGATGCTCTAGTATCAATCATCTTGCGTAAACGTAACGTGCTGACTATTGTCCATGTTGTCTTAGGCAATACTCCAGCTACACTTTAGTTTCAAATGTGGTTTCGTGGGTGGACCCATGTCATGGTGGGAGCACTTTTTTGAACGATGCTACATGTCTTGCAGCTGCTGTTCTGCAAAGTCTTCCTTTCTCATGGCTGGGTCTTGCCTGAAAATGGTTATGATCAGTAGAGTACGACCCCCTACAAGCTAATTCAAAAACCAAGCCTCCACCCCCCCCCGTTGGTATTTGCCACAACATGGAGTTGCCTCTGCTTACTTGGAACCTCCTTCTGCACCACATTTCGCCACACTCAACGGTTGGAAACCACTGAATCCATCCGCGGCGGGAAGGGATTATGTAATACAGCTGAAACGGCGAAAATTCCCGCTTCCAAAACCCTTTCGCATTCTCTTGAAAATCTTTCCTATCCTCCGGAAAAATTTCTATTATACTGTCTCTCAGAAATACCGTGTCACTCACACTATACTATTATTATGCTACACAATACACTTGTACCAAACACAACCTCTTTTCCCGTAAATCATGCACATTACAGCCTCTCTCGCCTCAATTCCCCGCTGGACGTTGACCCCACTGTCGCCGGCTTCCGCTCTTAGTTTGCTCCGTTCGACTTTTTCTAATATAGAGATATTATCGTGAAATCTGGCAGTGCTCTTAATTCTACACCATATCCACATGGCTATCAGCTACGCAGAAGCATTCAAGCCTAATGTATTTCTTCAAACTAGGGCTCCTTCCGGTCGTGGTGGCTCATTAACCCAGTGGACAAAAAAGGCAACGAAATGCCGTTAAGGTAAGCGCAGAATACGGGAACCCTCTTTTTTGCGGTCCGTTTGACATTCACTTCACTGGATAGTGACGCTTAAAGTCGGACGTAGAACGTGTCTCACATGGCAGAGGCGTAGCGGCACCATGTCCAATTCCGAAAGAGTCTCCTGTGTGCCGCTGCTGGCAACGCAGCTCGTCCAAATCACCAACTAAACCAGTGGGCGGATCGCTTTTGGGGCGGAGTGCTTTCGAAGTCCTGCTCAGCAACCAGCGAACCTTGCGTCGTGAAAGCGCTACACCTCGCTTCCCTGGCAGCCAAGTAACTGATTCGTGTGGTGTATATATTCCCGATGCGCTTCCACTTTCTCGTAATCGCTGCCTTTGAACTATCGACATTATGCCTTTTGACTTGTTTTGTTTGTTAACTGCTGTTTTGCCGCAGTTCGCGTTGCGAATGTTTCACAAGAATGCTGGGTTGTGAACAAAACTTTCGCCCCAGGCGGGACTAGAACCCGCACCTCTCGCTTTCCGGGCAAGTGCGCTACCAGTTACGCTACCGGGGCACCATTTCATTCCAACTCAGCTTTTCATGGTGTATTAACCATAGCTTACCAGCACTCACACGTCTAACGTGATTTAAAGGACGAATTTACGATGGAAAAGCAACCCATTTCAAATTAACTAGGATGGTGAGTGGTACACGAAAGAAGGAAAACCATGAGAAACGGCCCAGAACCCGAGAAATGGGACCCCTTCCTTGCCCGTTGATTTGAGCATTGATGCGACTCTCATCGCTGTGCCCTCTTCAACACTACGCTCTCTCAGCTATCTAATCACTCGCCACGTATTGAACTACGGCGAGTGATCAGATGATCGGTGGGCGGAGATCGCCGAACCGCCAACTTTGAGGCATGATAGGTCGCCGAGGTCAAATTTTTCGATGCCGAATTGCGCGTCTGTCCGCACCCTCAAGAGATTCACCGCTCTCCCCACTAGGCGATTTCTCCCTTCTTCGACCTTCGTTCTTTCCGTGCAATCCTCCTTTAATCTACAGTGAATCGCAAGGCTGAAAGTTTGTCGAATATTTTGGAATTGTTTCGTTTAATATATTATGAAAAGCTGAGTTACGGCGAAATGGTGCCCCGGTAGCGTAACTGGTAGCGCACTTGCCCGGAAAGCGAGAGGTGCGGGTTCTAGTCCCGCCTGGGGCGAAAGTTTTGTTCACAACCCAGCATTCTTGTGAATATTATGTCTTTGGCATTTTTTCAACAACTTTTGCTTGCTCAAGTTTGACCTGTGTAGAAAAGCGACAATGCAGAACTTTCTAATACACCCTTTACCACGAGCACGACCAGAACTTCTAAAGCTGTATGTAGAACCGCGCGAACCGGCCTGTATACTCGAGCTGCAACTTGTTAAGTTAATAGCTGTATTATAACGTTGCGGATTTTCTTCGAAGAAAAACGCCCTTCCTTTTAATGCTCAATTTCATCTTGAAAAGAGGTTTGCTCGTTGAAAACTGTGGACGCTTATCTTTTAAAATATCCCATATTGTATATTGGCTCAGCGCTCTAAGCTCTCAGACAGATCAATCTCTGGCTAAGCGCAACAGACCTCGGTTACGGTCTCTGTTCACTTAAAGTTTGTCGCGGTACCTATCACAACGTTCTGTATCTTGGTCCAGCCGGATGTTCAGTAACAGCGCCCATACATTAAAACAACCCAGGGATTAGCACTACTAGTACGAAGAACACTGGCGAGGGAAATTGTAGGGTCCGTACCCAATCTAGACCTCTCCAGCTTCGTCGCCAAAATTGCTCCCACAACCATCGACCCTCTTAGCAACGCTTCCCACCCACCGCAATTGATGTAGAGATCAGCGTGCTCGCTCTCTCACGCGTTTTGGTCTTCTTTGATCGGCCTGTCTCGGCGTCGTACCACATCTGACCCCACTGAAAGTTAAGGCCTTAATTTCAACGTCCCCAAAGATTTCTCTTATCATTTTCTCGTCTATGCATATCATGACCACGTCGCCTTGAAGGCAGCATTCTGCGATCAGTTCGTATAGTGGAAAATACCTCAAGTTGTGTTTGCTGCTCTGCTAACTGAACAATTCTGTGCCATATTTTACCCTCTGTGATGGTTTCCACAGAATACTCTAGGACCTCAAGAAACTCTTGTTTCCCCACATAGGTTCGTGCACCCCATTCATGGAGGTACCTCATCTGGGTCACATCGCCGATCTGCTACACTTTTTCATTTGAAATCTTCCTTTGCCCCTCCTCGTCTACAGTCTCTTATCTCGCTGTCTGTCCCTTAAACTTCCTCACTAGCATAGAGCAGAGAGGGTCGTACTTCTGGTGTTTTTGAAGGCTTCTTCCCTTGCTTTTATTGGATAAGTGCTGTTTAACGCCGCAGTTGGAGTTGCGAAAGTTATATCATCAAGAATATCCTGAATTTGTGAAGGAGGAACTTTCAAACCCGCCGAGATTCGTATTCGGATTTCTCGGTTTCCGTGAAGTAGTGCTACCAGTTTCAGTCGTGCATGGTGCTCCGGCGATATTACTGGTGGCACAATTCCGCCAAAGCAAGAGATCCGAGTACGAATCTCGGCGGGGCGAAAGTTTTTTCCACTAAGCATTCTTGTGACAGATTTCTTTCCCTTTTTGATTGGCGGTCCACCTCGCAATCTCCCTCTTCATATTCAAGCAGAACTACGACATCAACCTTAAAGGCCTACAAAAAAACCAGTTGGACTATGAAAATTTTGAATTCCCGCTATGAGACTTCCCTAGGCGGAAGTGTGTAGGGGGGGGAAGTGGTGTAGTGACAAGTGGCGCGCTCACCACGCGAGCGGTCCGGGGATCAAATCCTGGGTCGTGAGTCGCCCGGGCCAACCAAGCCTTCCATCCCTCCGGGGTCGGTTAATTGGTACCAGACTTGTCTGGGAGGATAAAAACACTGACTTGAACATCGGCTGGCCCCGCAAGTCATTGTATAGGCCACATCGCATTCAAATGCCACTGCGAATGTACAAATGGAAGTAGAATGCGTGCCGCATCCCAAAACGGGATTGATCAACGGGCAAATGCTTTATCCTTTATCCTTTAAAACTTCCCACAACTGTTAGCGGCGTGGAGTCAACACGTGCAAACGTGTCAAAAGCGTGAACGTGAACTGGATTCATGTTGGGCCCTTCCCATAAACTGACACGTGGATCCGCACCTGCCACGCACTTCGTCACAGAAGCACTTCCGGTCCCGCCTACTGGTCCAATCCGGTCCCACAGATGGGTCTTTCCAGGGGCTGTTTCTCTTGGGGGTTTCATCATTTTCGCTCCGAACTTTGCATATGGTCTTCAATGACCATGCCCAACACCTGTGCTGATAATGGAAAGGATAAGCGGTATCTCCATGGATAGAATTGCCTCAAAGTTCTTTGAAAAGCATAGGTGCCAAATTACGCAGAGAGATGGAGAGATGAAGTGGATTTGATCTACGGGCTGTATGTGTTAGCAGGATCACGTTGGGACAATCGCTCAGATCCCTCCGTCAAAGGAATGATGCTATCGCTGGTGTTGTGAGACTTGACTCACTCCAACTCTGCAACTGAAATTCCAAAACCAGGTCGAGCAAAAGGGGGAGGGATGGAGGTTTACGAAGCTCCTAAAGGCAACGAAACTTGCGCATCTCATGCATTTTGTTCAGTTCTTAGGATTAATTTCCGGCTCTCTCCCCAAACGGCGAATACGTCCTCAGCCCATTCCTCCCCCCCCCCCTACCGCACGCAGCAATCCATAACCGGAATACGTTTTTCCCCATTTCTGCTTTTCATAGTTGGATCTTTATTAGTGAAATTTTTCTATTTTTCTGCATTTACGTAGTATTCAGTACATCTTCAATTGTTCATAGGGATAGATAGGAAGTCTAAGAGACCAGTTAGATTGGTGAGAACTAGTCAAAAAAAGTGGAACAGACGACGAAACATGAGAGGCAAGTACAAGTGGCTGCTGAACTGTCATAATGCCGTATCACACATGGTTTCAAGGTCAAATTCCCGCTATGTACAGACAGGCACATTCCGACGGGTCAGTCAGTCGTCAAAATTTGAGCGACAACGATAGGTAATGCCAACTGCGGTATCAGGCACAACGATGAGGCGAGACTGAGAAAGACACGGGCGACGAGTACGTTTGACCTCACGATTATGATGATAACAGCTGGATCTGAAAAGAAAGTGATAAGTCTGCCTTAGAACATGCTATGAATGATGGCTGAGAAAGTGCATAAAGTTTCGCATATAAGTTGTCTCTAATCTTTCGGTTTGTGCTAGCGCTAGCTATTTCCATTACCACAACTGCTGTGTTAATATACAGGGGGGGGCAATAAAAAAAAGACATTTTGTCTCCACTTTCAGATGGATTTAAGCACACTTTGCTCAATTGAGACCGAGTGTTCCCAACTTAATATTGAAGAGCACATTTCATTCTATAAGAAAATCTTCATGTTGGCCACCCACGTGGACGGCAACAGAAGAATTTGCCCTGGAAACATGGTGCACTGGTCGAGCTCAATGGGGTCTTCGAAGGATTCTGTACCATAACGACCTTTACTGGAAAGCTCGTTTCGAGGGGATTTGCATAGTGGTAGCTAATGCCTCTAGAAAACTATCCAACATTAAATCGATTCACGAAATTGCGTAAGAGCTTCAGGCTGAAGCTCTTACGGTAGACCTCCTTGAGCCTGACGACGGTGACAGATGACGTCATATTCTGAAGACGGTGAGGGCAGTGAAGGAGGGCCTGCGTTCACTTATAGAGGGACACTTAGGGAATACTCTGCTGAGGAACTCCCGTCAACGACGGCAATCTCTGCGAAGAAAAAAGGGCCGAAGTCCGACATAGGCAAAATGTCTTTTTTTTTTGCCCCCCCCCCCCCCTGTATATCTGGCTTCCACGAAGAATGTTTGGCTAATCTTGCGTCTTCAAGGTTTCTAGAAAAACTTGATGCAATCAGCTGACTTCCTGGAGACGACCCGGAAAGATATCTTATCCGTCGGCCGAGGACCGTGGCTCAACTTGGTTAGGCTGGATGAGAGTGGATCCTCGGCTATAAATGTTATATCTACAGCTTTCGCCAATGCCTCACTACTACAGTCATCTAATACTGGGCTCATATTTCTGTTCCTAGGCCAACATCGGCTGGAGCTAAAGGCGCAGTTTTCAAATGAAGAGGTCTAAAAGTTGAGGTAGAGGCGGACAGCAGCGTAGGGATGAAGTAGAACCAAGAGGAGCGCCCAAAACCGAGGAATGAGACTACTTATCCGCTCGTTGATTACAATGTTGATGCATCTCTCACCGGTGCTGCTCTCTTCAACGGTAACACTGTGCTGGTGCTGCGTGCTGGCTGCTACAGCCAGACAATGAGAGGGTGGGCGTGTCGCGGCGTTAGCGTCCCACAAACAGCCACGTTAGATTCGCAGGAGACTTATCCTTCGCTTTGAATTGCGTGTAATCCGCACACTCAGGGCGCCCGCCTGTCCTTCCACGTAAGCTAAGTTTCCCCCCTTCTTCGACCTCTCGAACCTTATCGCGGAATCCGCCCTTAAAGGCAGCGAACACGATAGCTGGAGGGCAGAGCGGTTTCGGTTGAGAGGTGATCAAAAATACGCCCTGCAGCACGCTGAGGAGCCCGGTCCACTGACGTACCACGACGTCATCAAAACCGCTCCGCCCTCTGGCCATATTACTGCCTTTGAAGTACTACTAATTTGCTGGCTTTTCATGCGGGTATTACAAGTGCTTGGTCTGTCGTGCCCTAACTGATAATTTTCACACCAGATTGCCTAACATTTTCCAACCTTCATGTTTGATCATTACCCTACGCGAGGGCTATAACTTGGAATTATTAGATAGAGAAGGAAACAAGTAAACATGGCGCAAGGAAAACTTCAGAAAAAAAATCTATTTGCTGCAGAACATTGAGAAATCTTCACTGTTCTACTTTTTGAAAAATTGCAGCAAACGATCACCCTCCCCCCAATTCCATTGATCCTATCAGGTGATGGTGAGCTAATAATTCGAACGGACTGATCTTTGATCGAGAGTGTTCGCTGGTTTTCCATCAGTTTGATCAATGATCATTACCATGAAAGGGAACGCCGCTCGTTTGAATGGCGCGAGAGAAGTGATCGACTGATTCAACCAATTTATACTGAAGCATCTCAAATTCAATTCATCAATCCATAACAGACACAAGAGAAGAATGAATTTCTGCCTCCACCTACCCCCCCCCCCCTTACTATAAAAGGGGTATTTTGGGGCGGTAATTTCTGCCGACTACAGAAATCCCAACTTTTGTTGGAAAATGAGGCTCCGCGAAGGGTGCACCAATCAGTTTAGGTGAAAAACAAACTGAGTAACTTTTCTATAAAAACAAAATGTTGGTTTTTTTTTGAACTCTTCCTGACTCTCAGCGCGCCGTGTTGCTGGACGAATGCAAACATGTTCTGTATCTTGGCGAACTCATCCGAACTTTGCAGGGCTAAACCGCAGCCAAGCAAGCTGTGGGTATTCGAAAAATTAAAAGTACTCCCCACGTGGGAACCATGATTTTGCACCGAAAATGATTATTGCGAGAAAGGAGGAAACATTAGAAACTCTCTGGAGCCAGCAATTAAAAAACCCGTGACTGAAAAATGCTGCCTGCGTGCTGTCGTAAAAGGAACCCGCTTTATGGGCAAAGTGCTCTCGCGATGGGAAACCTTGGTAGTAGAACCCCCTCAGAGAAAAAAATATTGTAATGCTTAAAAAGAACTCAAAAATGGCTGCTAGATACACTATCCATTTTGAAACTTATGAACTTAACTTATGAACTACGAAGAACTCACATGACAAAAAATAATCGTCGTTGAATATCGGCCTCGCAAACAGCCAGAACGCCTCAAACCGTCCATGATATGATCGAGATCCGGAGAGCTGCTGCATTGTTCCATATTCTTTAAAGAAGAAGCCTCGCGTACTGGTAAACCTCCAAAAATGAATAGATAAATTGAACGAACATTACCTTATAAATATTACTAACAATAAAACTATAAAAATGACAGGAAATAATGAAAGTCGTGTCTATTCAAAAAAATACTTAACGATGCAACCATGCAGAAAAGCGCCATAGAGGCGGCGCTCACGATGGCCGGAAGGCGGTGCGTGTTTTTAATGATGGCAATTGAAAGCCATTGGTGAAGGGCGGTAAGAGAGCGGGACCCTACCACACCCCCACCCGCTTAAGGCTTTAATCACCAATGCTGTCAAGGCGTCATACAAAAAAACATCTAAGCCCCCCTTTCGATATCACTCGAGTACGAATCCGTCTTCGGCCGGCCGTTAATTTGATGTGCAAGCTTTTGATACTGAATGAGAAGGATGCGCTACTTTAATTCGCGGTTTTAAAACCGATTGCGTTGCGGAAATGCGCTCTAACATTTGTTTTTGCTTTTGTTCAAATTACTGGAGAGTTCGTAATAAAGGCGACTTCTCCTTTGAGTGTGCGTGGTACAGATTAGGTCAAACAAGAAACGGAAGTAAGTAAGCAAGTAAACAAAAATGAGCAAACAAATAAATCCACAAAAAAAATATTAAGTCCCGTTGAACGATCATAAAAATCCTATCTTTTTCGCTGCTGTGCTACTATAACTAAAAGGGTACGGATGATAAAAGACGATATTTTATACAATGAAGTATGAAATATCGGTGGTTTTGAGTGCTACATGGTCCAGAAGGGGATGACTAAAAAATAGGCCCAGTTCTATCAATCCATATCTAAAGAGAGGACGCCACGATAAGGTCAGTAGAATATACTTCTGATTGAAGCAAGGCAAGCGGCCCCCTAAAGTGTGCGGAACGCGTCACGAAGAAATGAGTATGTCCCAGCGGCCAGGATTATACTCACTCCGCTCGCGCCGCGGCACATCTACCCTCTCGCGGTCTAACTCCAACCGGGTAGCAGAGGGAGTGTTATCATTGACTCATGATAAAGTCTAAATCGATGCGGAGAATCGACGCACCAAGAAGAAGATGTCCCATTCAGGTTCTGAGCCAATTCTATAGTTTCTTCTTCATCTGCACCTTGACAGCTCTACTTTGATTTCTGATGGGATGCCTTTTCATCGTGAACTTCGCCTTCAATGATACCTCCAATAGAGCTTCATCTCATTGAACATTTACTTATTGATTTCTTTGCTCCTTCACTACAAGACATGTCAACGACTCGAACTACAACAGATATGCCGAATTCCAACCCTCCATCGCCAGATACCCTGCACAGAAGTTTTTAACCTGCCCTCAGCCTTCAAAGCTAAAAGCCAAAATAGAGGTCACCATCATCAGAAGAGGTACTGATTTTTGGCTACAGAGACAGGATTTACGGATTTTCAGCCCGGAGCTTCATCCACGATGGTCCCAGCAGGCCTCTACGACGTTTCAGGTAGCCGGACCATTTCTGGTTCGGCATATTGCTCCCTAGGACTCTACATCAATGTATTTCTATAGTGGTGCCCGTTCTTCTCAGAAGGTTGCAGAGAAGTGGACGCTCATGATCGGTCAAGCGTCAGGCTGGGGAGCACAATAGCAATGAATGCCGTTCTTTTCGAAATTATTTAATGTCGGACTTGGCTAGCATTTGGCCCTAAAGGCATGTAGACCCTGATAACAATCGTTTAAGTCTGAGAAGTCGCTTACGGCTCTCGCGATGCCCATCAATCATACTTGAACTCTTAGTATTCACTGACACGTTGCCGGCAAAAGCCGTGAACAACGTCCGTTCATTATGAGCTGTTTAGCAGAGTCTGGAAAGGCAGAATTCGGATCAGCGTTCTGATATAAAAGACAAAAATAGGACCAATTCACCTTCTTGAATAGCCATGATCAGATAAAATGCTTTCCTTATAAACTAGACAGATTTCTCCTCAGCTCGTGAAAAAAGTTTAGTTGTAATTCAGTTCCGGAAGTGGTGTAGTGGCAAGTGGCACGCTTACCACGCGAGCGGTCCGGGGATCAAATCCTGGGTCGTGAGTCGCCCGGGCCAACCAAGCCTTCCATCCCTCCGGGGTCGGTTAATTGGTACCAGACTTGTCTGGGAGGATAAAAACACTGACTTGTACATCGGCTGGCCCCCGCAAGTCATTGTATAGGCCACATCGCATTCAAACGCCACTACGAATGTACAAATGGAAGTAGAATGCGTGCCGCATCCCAAAAAGGGATTGATCAACGGCAAATGCTTTATCCTTTATCCTTTATTCAGTCTCCCAATGCTCAAATACGCCATGAAAGCCATCGTAAAAGTTTGTGCGGGAGCATTTCGAAAACGTTGCGAAAATTTGTATGGATATTTGAATTCTTATAAAGACCTCAAATTGAGCGTCACACAAAAGCTCAGCTTTATTTGATGCCCATTTCACAACAATGAGTTGTCCGCCAATTCACGGTGATTCAGTCACGTATAGCACATACACAGAATAATTTCGAAATAGATAAACAGAGCATCGATTTCGTAAATTTTACAAAGATCTAAAGCTAACTTCGGCACTAAATTGCCTTGGCTCTCACATTTAGGTAGCCCAATATAAGAACAGAGATGGTGCCGCATAAGCGCCGCATACCGTCTATTACCCAACTTGTCCCGAAGATCGAAACTTTGGATTAAAACCTCGTCTAAGGCCTGCTATCCTTACATAACCCCCATTGGAGTGGTCTTGGTACCAAAACTGTCAAGAAAGACATAGAGATCAGTTGGTCTCTGCAAGAAATGCAAAGGCTGTGTCACAGTAAAATGTACTCGGTGCGATTCTAAATTGGAATCACAAGTGCCGCTGGCGCATCTCAGAAATTTCAAATGACTGAACTGGCGAAATTCTTGGATCACGCACTGCCATATATTTCACCCGAAAAAATCTGCCCATACCATTAATCACTCGGAAATCCTTTGTAAAATGACAAACTAAAACAGAAAGGAGTGAGAAAGGCATAGTGAAGAGATTGAACAGTAATGGGAAGTTCGCGTCCCAAAATATCATTCTGTTTCCTTGACCACTTGATACGGTGAGGGTAAAGTTCGTGAATCAAAGCAATGCGCCATGCATTCGAATCCCATTCGAAATCACAAACGCACTCGAATGCGGGGCTGGCTCACACTAAGACTTGCGAAGGTCTACCCATGTGCAAGTAGCAGCTTTATTCTCCTATCTTCTTCAATATCAGCTTTTGAATGCTAAGAAATAGAAACTGCATATCCGTTCTGACACTTACCAATTCAGATGGCCGGAAGCCATAACCCCTTCTTCACAGCTTGCAATAATGGCGGCCATTGCTCTTGCTCTTCCAAAAAATGGGCCCACCCGGATCGTCCTTGTCCCTCACCCTTAAAGGAATAAAGCGCAGAAAAATTCTTGCATTCTTTCTTGACATGAATGTGTCAGTTGTGATCACTGGAAACAGCACACAAAGTTTCACGCATGAAGATTCGGTTTCCGAAAAGAAACAAACGTACAAAAACTACACTCTATGGACAATCGAAGGTAATTCGGGCGGAGCCAAAGGCTAGGCATGGAAAGTAGTCGGGCTTTGGAGAATCGGGTTAAAGCGCGCGATTGTGGAGAGTAGATACAAATCGATCGATAGAATAGGATGGAGTAGAAGTGTAAGATGTGAATGCATAAAGCAGAAGGTCAGAAAGAGTTTCTAGTGAAGGGTAGCAGCCCTTTCGTGTTTTGGATTTTTTTTACCAAAACAAAAGCAATATTTCTGTTCTTTTCATTCTTATCGTGGATAATGAGTCTCAAGCCAGTGATTTATGGCTGAAAATAGAATCATGATTTTTCCGTGAAGGATTCCTTCAAGTAAACGTATCCCTTTTTTTATCAATGCTTTTGATGTTTTTCCTCTTTTTCTTTTTTGAATGTGAGTCTTCTCCACTAAATCATATTCTATTTAATTTCTACCTTAATTA